TACGCGGCCGTACGCACCCCTACGCTCACCTCAATTGCAGGTCCGTATGGGTGCGTGTTTCCTAGCTCGGACGCAGACAGGATCCATCCTGTCAGCGTACGAGTATGCTCACCCACAAGGACGTGCAGGGTGGGTGAGCGTAAGGGGGCGTACGGCCGCATAGTCCTATAGAGAAGGATGGGGACTGCGTACTAATCACACGCAGCACCTGTCCTTCCCGTGAGCTGCCCAATACGGCCATGTACGCAGCACGGAGTTGTATGTGCCAGTCGATTCCAGTGTGAATGAGCCCTTTTAAAAAGGGTTTAAACTTCCCTGTGTCTTCGCCACACACTCCCGTCCGTACAACTGAAGTGTCTCGAGCGGCCGCAAAGGATCTTGGGGCAGGCGCATGCGCACTTCAGATGTTCGGCCGGGAGACGAGGAGAGACACAAGGTAAGTCTATGGAGCAGCGTGCACCCGCACAGACTCCGTGGTACGTCAGAGGAGAGGAGGACAGAGGAGTCCGCGCTGGATCAGAGACCGGCACCAGCACTGGAGGGACAGTTGAAAAGGACAGTAAAGAAGAAAATGATCGAATAAAGAAGCATCATTTAAGGTAAGTCCTTACAGCAGGATTGGGAAGGGGGGAAAGAAAATTCTGACTTCCTGTGACCCTAAAGAGAACGACACCCATAAAAAAAGGTTGGGCCATAGTTTTCTCTTAAGGGGTTGGTTAACATAAATTGTTCACTTGGCTTGGTAAACAAAGTGAAGCTTTTTTTCACTGCAGTCATGCAAGAAAAAAAAAATTATTTAACACTCCTTTATACCTTTTTATCATTGGTGTTTATTGCCTGCAAGTACAAATGTCAAGGATGGACTGTAGGCAGATATAATGGACACAAATGAATGCAGATCTATACTCCTTAACACATGATTAAAATGTATTTATTTAAAATGCAAGCAGTGTAGGTATCTGAATCTGACCTGGTATCAGACTCCTGTAGTGCCTGTACAGCAGGGCTGGAGTGTGAGAGGAAGCAGCACAAGGAGCTAATCAGTTCATGTGCTAGCAAGAAGCATGCTGATAGGAGGAGAACGCAGAGTGACCAAGAGATGAGCTCATCATTGTACTGCTTCTTTCATTATCCAATAACAGTTTGGGGTGAGTCCAGGATGACCTGGGATCAGAGGAAGTGGGTTGAATGATGCTGCCCACCAGACTGAGTATCTGGGGGCAGAATAAAATACTTTGGGGTAGAGCTCTTCAATTAAATATTGGAACAAAAGCTGCCGTTTTTTTTTAATGGTTAATTATTTTAATCTTATTTTTGGTTGGTGTTCTGCTTAAAACCCCAATTAAACTTCCAGTTAACATTAAACACATTCTAGATGCATGAAAAAGGTGCGCAAAGTTGTGTTTGTTTTTCTTTGGAAAGGAATTCTTTCCGGCTCGCTTAAGAGAAGTATCCTTGTTCCCCATGTGGATGTGGTGGTCTCTCTGCAGAGGTCTGACCCCTCCCCCTTATGAATCGGAGCTTCAGCTGTCCAATCTACAGGAAACCTGAGATTTGCTGATTGTAGAGCCGCAGGTCTGACTCGGCAGAGGGTGTGTTGGACCTCCTGCAGAGAGACCACTGCTTCCACACAGAGTGCAAGGGCCCATATCTTCAGCTCCAGATGAACCGGAGGACACGCGGACTCATATATTTGTAGGTTTAGATTCCATATGCATAGAGATTTGTCTAGTAAGGCTGCCAGTTAAGGAGATTAAGTTTTATGCGTCAGGATCTCTTTAATTGCAAATGGTTTTTTTAATAACTGCATTGTTTTCTCTATCAGTGTGTCTTGTGTGCATTTGTGATGCATGTGCTTCTGTTTACATTGGCTCCCTGCCCCTTATGCCCATGTGATGAGGGAGAGGAAGTCACAGACAGAACTGGAACTGCGGTGTGATGCATCGCCTGTCTGGTTTTTGGATTCCATTTTCTTCCATACACACATTCTTGTTGAGCACTGGAGTGTCGTTCATTTGACAGAGTGTATTGTTTATCTATATTGCGATCCATATTCTCCTCCAATCCTCCCGCTAAAAAAATAAAGGCCGTCCTTATTATCTGGACCTGCTTTTCGGATATTTGGCCATCGTGTATATTTGTATTTGTGTTCCAGCTTGCACTTGTTCTACAGAAATTGTGTAAGGTCATCTGGCCCAGATCTGAAATGGCCGGGTAATCATTCTGTCATTGCATAATCTTCTTCTAGCTTCATAGAAAGGACGAGAAAAATAAACTTTACGGCTTAGCAAGTCAAAACTTCAAAGATGTATTTTTCATACCCCCAACTATGAGAGATTGGAAAGCATACTACCTGAGGCACCTTAATGGTTAAACCCCGGTGCCCAAACTGTGCCCCCATGGCAATAATTGCTTGGCCCTCAGGGCTCCTACAGACATTATTCTGTGTTTCCTAAATGTACGTGCTTTATTCTTTAGACTGGGTTCTATTAGTTCAATGGTTTGGTTTATCTCTTTCATATGATCTTCTTTTTTTATTTTTTTTTTGTTCTCATCTGTCCATTCCTTCTTTTTTTTGACCTTACAGTAGTAGAGGTCGCACATCTTCCACACACCTTGCGATAATCGTACGATCGCGGGATTTCCCACAATTATCGTACGATTATCGTAAGGTGTGTGGGGACCTTAAGAAGAATGTATTATGAGGGGATTTTATAAAAACCCGAAGGGCAGACAAAATCTGGCAACCAATTAGCTTCTACCTTTTAATTTTCAAAGCTGCAGAGAGAAGCTGATTGGTTGCCATAGGCATCTGCTCCAGTTTTGATACATTCCCCCAAACCCCCCCATGCGTTTCCTTAGGCCCCATTCACACCTATGCGTATAGTAATATGCGCGTCTGTCGCGCGTTTTTTTTACCGCGCGACCGTCGCGCGATTCCAAAGGCTACTTGGCAGTATACTAATGGAAAACGGACCAATACGCAGCAAAAAACGCTTCGGGACCTTTTCATGCGTGGGCCGTTTTGTAGTGCGTTCGGGACGGGCGGAAATACGGACAGGTGGGAACGAGGCCATTGACTACAGTGCTATTTATTTTTTTGACCGTTTTGTAGAGCGTTCATCGAGCGTAGGACGCGCTACAAAACGGTCAGGTGTGAATGGGGCCTTAGTTTCATCCACACACCACAGGATGCAGAGATTGTGAATACAGGTCATCATATTGGAGATTGGGGACAATCAACGCAGGATTAATATTAAAATAAAGTATACATATAGGCCTCATTCACATGAGAAAAGGTCGGCACGTACAGCTCTGTGCACGGCTGAATCGGACAGCTCCCAGGAAGGACAGGTGCTGCGTGTGATTAGTACGCAAACCCCTGTCCTATGCGAGTATGTGGCTATACGCCGCCCTACGCTCACCCCAAGTGCAGGTCTTTACGGGTGTCCCGGCTCTGACGCAGAAAGGGTCCATCCTGCCAGTTTACGAGTACGGACACCAGCACGGATGTGCACTTGGGGTGAGCGTAGGCCAGCGTACTAATCACATGCAGCACCTGTCCTTCCAAGGAGCTGCCCAATACGGCCGTGCACGCAGCACGGAGCTGTACGTGCCGGCCTTTTCTCGTGTAAATGAGGCCTTTAAAGCTGAACTGCAGGCAAACGGCAAACACACGGTTGAAATACATGTATGGGATCCATTTTATCTGTCTAAAGCTGGCCATACACTTGTAGATTATTGCTCGAATACCCCATCATGCACAGTCCAATTATTTACATTTCCAATTTATTATCGATTTCGAAAATTGGTCACTAGCCATACTAACCATCCAATTTTTGATAGACGACCCAAAAAATATCTTTTGCGCGTATGCCGTGTTCTTGCGACAATTTTTGTTGAGCGATAACACCACTGAATCATCGATTTTCGTTCGGAACGAGAGAAAGGTTTTCCAACACAACCGATTGAGGAAATTTGGCCAGGAGTACAGTCATTAAAATTGTTGGGTTCCCATCAACTGATGGATTACCGTTCAAAACAACGTTCGTGTTCGATTGCCAAACGAAACTCACAAAGTGTAAGGCCTTGTTCACACCAAGCGCGGAGAAGGTGCAGAGCGGAGCAAAACTGCGTCCAATGTATTCCAATGGTAGTTTTTGCTCCAGTTCACATCGCAGCGTGCAGGTCCAGAGCAGGTGAAAAAACAGCAGCCAGCTCTATTGTACCTGCTCTGGAACACATGCAAACGCATCAAAAACGCGGCACAACCCACTGCATTGCGTGTGCAGAAACCTGAGCGGATCTGCTCTGCATTTGGTGTGAACAAGGCCTTAGGGCAACTTTTTTAGGATTTGTATTCTGTCAATCCAGTCCTGAGATTTACATAGCTCTACCACTCTACATGTGCCTGTCTGACAGAGCAGGAGACTTGACTTTTTTCTCTGCTGCACACTGATGAGCGCATCTCTCTGCCCCTTTGCTCTCTCCTCCTATCAGCATATCCATTGTTAGCACATGAAAACTGCAGCACAACTGATTAGCTCGTACTGCTTCTCACTCTCCCAGTCTAAGCTCTGCTGTGGATTGCTGCTGATACCAAGCCAAAATCAGTTACTTACGCTGCTTGCATGTAAATAAATGGTAAATGTATAAAAGAATACCTAGCTGCATCCATTTCCGTCTTTTGTAACTGCCTGTGGGTTTAGCTTTAAATGAAATATATGAGCACATGGTAACCATCTGTGAATTTTTCTTTTCTTTTCTGGTGTGTAAAGATGGCGTTTCCATTTAAATAGGCCTGCGCCTCCAATCCTGGACGGACTCATTGCCAGTAACAGATGTGTCCTTTCTGCACAGTTATGCTACCTCTGTGTGTACGCTGCAGTATGAGAATATTAAACATAGTTTGTATGAATGTGCACCGAGATTATATTCACAAACATTTTCAGAACAAACGATGCTTTCGGCCTTAACTCATTCTTTTATTTGTTCTTCAGGGAGAAGGATCTGGAGGCTAAATTTATTATTGAAATGGAAGGCAAGAAAACAACAATTACCAATATGAAGGCAAGTGCGATCCAATGTTTATTTTTGATGAATGCTGCACTTTTAGTGGCACCCAAGGGTTTCATCTAGAGAGAACTTAATACTGTAATATGCCTGTATGCCTTTTTTTATTATAATTCTACTCCAGCAAGGTGGAATTAATGAGCATGTATAATGGCCTGCAGAAGTATATTGCAGTTCAGGTTGCCTTGCATCAGCCAGCCATGGTAAATGTATGCCATCAAAAAAAATAATTATATATATATATATTATATTGATTTAAGGTCTTAAGTTCAGATATAATGGACAAGTCAAGGCTTATGCTGCCAGCACAGAGCTTTTCATCCTCTGCTGGTCTATTACGCTTTGTTTCAGGGTGTTTCCTGGAAATACCTTGAAATTCCAGTTTATAGAGTTTGAAGTGGGAAATACCTCCTACGCAGCAGGTTTAAGTCCATTATTATGTAGACAAGTTTTACATAGGTTTTTGCAGGTTGTCCTGAATACGAGCACTTTTCTTTAGCTTGTGCTAATCATACACAGGAGATCAGAAATCATGATTCAACCTTTTGTTTGATCGGTTATTCACTCAACAGTGACACCATTAAATTGTAATAGAAGCCAAAACTCTATTGTTTTAGTTTTGGATGGAGTGGAGAGGGATGGGAACCCCTGTCAGGTTTTTATTGCTGTCTGTGTGCTCTTTGAGGAGATTCAACTGCTCTATTTGTCCTGGGTTTGTCATCAGAATAGGAATAGATGGGAAATCTTCCAATGAGGGCACTAGTTCTGGTGATCCTGCTGACCACCAGGAGTTTTCCTCTTTGGGGGGGGCTATCGGGCAGGACGCAAATCTGCCCAATGGGACACGGATGCTAAAGGAATAAGCTGACAGAGGTATAACCCTCCCTTACTCTATTCAGAACTAAGAAAAAAGAACCCCCAGAAAATTTTGTATTAACCCTTGCAGTGGGGCTACCTGACGCTCCGAGCCAGCTTCTTTTTAGGCCGGTCCTTCCAATGTCTCCCTTGCACCTCTGCAGTGGTCTAAGGTTCCGTAAATCATCACATCTGTCCACGTTAAGGAACATTCCTATGCTGCAGGGAGGGGGAGACAGGCTAAAGGGAGCGCCGTGACAGCTGGCTGGTTTGGAGCTTCGGGTGAGTATATCTTAGTTATTTTAGCACCTAGACACAAATGAGCACCTAACCCTTGCAGTGGTAGCCCCACTGCAAGGGTTAATAAAAACATTTCCTGGAGTTTTCTTTCACTTCTACTTTAAGTCCAAGTTTGGTGATCATCTCTGTTTCCCATGGAAGAGTAGAGCTACCACTGTATTTTGAAATTCATCTTCAGTATCTGCAGGCATTAGCTGGAGGAACACTTAAGCTGGGTTCACACCTTAGCGTTTCTTACCGCACGGTTTTACCGCGATTTGCGGTAAAAGAAAAGCGCGGCAAAAGCGAGTTTCCGAGGGGGTATCCGGCTGTATGCTAATGGATACAGCAGGATACGCGCGTTTATACGCCCCAAAGAAGCTCATGTACTTCGTACGCGCGTTAAAACGGCCAGGTGAGAACCATGCCTATAGACAAACGTGAGTTTTCACCTGTTGCGGTAAAACGCTCAGGTGTGAACCGGGCCTTAGACATTTTGCATTCACTGTGGTGTTGATCTCTTGGTGTCCTTCAATCATGTGTGCCATGAACACGCTATTTGTGATATAATTCCACCAAATCCGCTATTAGAATGTGAAACGCTCTGTCTGTGAATGATGAGCCTCAGCTGAAACTGTCTTGGCATAGCCCAGAAGTTTATGATGCATAGCCTTAGCCCTGGGTAATGAGATCTTTGGAAGATTTGTCAATGTATTTGTGGAGGACCTCCAGATCTCTGATTCTCCATACCTCTTGGTACCAGAGTGTACCAGGGAACCTAGATTTTAGTGTAATGTTTGAGTTATTTCAACATGGCTTGTGAGCTGAGAGGCTTTTTGTTGCACATCAACCAATGCCTCTGGTTGGGGGGCTCTATGAGCACTTCAAGCAGTCACAGTAGCTTGTATGGCAAACAAGGATGGGGGTACAGTGACCTCATACATAGATGGAATCATTGCAAAACATCCCAGCTGTCAAATACTGCTGGTTCTAGACTATTCAAAGTAAAACAGCTACCGGATTATAGTGTTTTAAACCAAGCTAATTGCTGTTGTCATCATCACCCAGGGAGTTCTATTTCCAGTGTAGTTCTTTCTCAGCTGCTAGCTTGTATTCTTCTAATCATTTTATGTATGTAGTGCATTGTGACATGCTTTGACAGCTACAACAGCACTAGTCAGTGTAATTGGAGAATAGTACAGCAGTGGTATGTCTACCTGCGCTCCTTTCTCTCCTTGTTTTCCTTGGATGTTAGAAGTAATTGTAGACCAAGCCCTGTGCTGTGAATTGATTTTAGCGCTGATTATATGATAGGCTGTTTGGCCATTTCATCTTTGGACCTGAAGCAGTAACATCTACCAGAAAGCAGAAAAGAAGGATTACCACTTTTCAAATTGTGAAGAATGTGGTCTGGTTTCTATAAAGTTCATGATAATATACAGAAAGAAGCTTGTGGCCTAGGGCCCTTTCACATGGGCGCTGTCCCCTGCTGAGTCAGATCAGAATGCAGATAGAAGTCACGGATCCATGTATACACAGTGGGTGGCAAGATATAAATGTGCCTGCATCTGCCTGTCAACCCCCCCCCTACATGCGGATAGGTCAGTAAAAGCGGACCTTGGTGCAAACGTTCCTTTTTGCATTTAGTCTAATGCACATAAATTGGCCCAGCCGTGGGCAGATATAGGTGGACGCACATCTTTTCACATCCAGCTGCCCGTAGGGATATATTCTTGTATACGTTTTTGAAGTGATATTAAAGTCAAAAGAATTCCAAATGCTGATGAAATCATTCACAATGGATGCTGCTTCTTGATGTTTAAAAGTTTTATTAGTTTCCTGCAGAATCAGCTGGTCCCCTGAGCACTGACTCTATCCTGTTTTAGAGTGCCTCCTTTCTCAAGCAGAGTGCTATGCAGTCACCCTTGTGTGTGCTAGTAAGCTGTGTGCATCTCCACAAACGCACAACAAATCCAACTACTTCCCTCCTCCCTGGCCCCTTCTCCAAGCTAGTAGATGAACAGTTTCTGGAGTCTGCACTGTCTTCTGGGATCTTGTACTGGACAGAAAGTTCAGGGAAGTTGAGCTGAGAGACAATCAGAAACATAATGATTGTAAGTGATTGGGCAAAAATGTAAAGCAGTGCTTTGCTGAGCAATGCATATTTGTCTGATCTGGATTCATTATGTTTGAGTTATTTCAACATGGCTTGTGAGCTGAGAGGCTTTTTGTTGCATATCAACCAATGCCTCTCATTGGGGGGCTCTGTGAACACTTCAAACAGTCACAGTAGCATAGTAGAGAAAATGGAGATGGGAGGAGGAGTTGGCAGACATGGAAAGTGCTACCAATGCACCTGCATCTGCAATCTCAGGGGGAACACTGGAAGTTGGGACAGGTTTTCCTACCTGCCCGATCGATTGTTCCCCCTAAGAGTCAACAGTCAGCAATTTTGTATTATGATGTGAGATCATCACCCATCTGAAAATTGGATGACTGTCATCTTACGTCCGTAGATCGCTAAAGGTGAGCTTATCCTAAGCAAGTTCAAGAACTTTCACCTCTGTTCATAGAAAATTGTGTTTTTCTGCCTGTCAGGGGTGGGGTATTATTGATCACAGGTGAAACTACACACTGGTTATCTTGTGCCTGATAAATGCATCTCATATGCTGCATGCTCTAAAGTAGTTGTGTTCAGTGAGTGCAGGACAAAAGTCATATATGTCAGGGTGAGTGATATAAAGCAAGTATACATTTTTGACCCACTCCCCCCCCCCCCCCTTTTTTTTTCTTATCTCTTTTTGGGTTATATTGGCACTGGGCATTAGTGTTGCGTCAAAGCATAGTTTTAAAGCAAATCTGATTTACCCATGCAGAGCAAAGCAAGAAATGGTTTTAATGCGTCCCTTACCAGCAGCTCACCTTTCCTTTATTCCTCTGCTGCTCCCCTTTCTGCAAGTTAAGCTTGTTGTCATTTTGACAGCGCTGGTGAAGCCGGGCAGGGAGATGTGTAAGGGCCATGCACATCTACCCTCCCAGCTCTTGGCAACCTGGGATGCTCTGGCCAGTGTCCTGCCCAGTTCTTGGCAACCAGTGATGTCACAGGTTACCAGGAGCTGAGCTGGACACTGGCAAGCTCCTTTCAACCACTGATGTAATTGAGCTGGGCAGGGTGCTGGCCAGAGCTGGACATTGCACCCCCCGGGTGCGGCCCAGAGTGCCTTTAGCATGTGCCTCCAGCACCTCATCAACCACCCCTCCCCGTACCTCAGGCAGCAATTATGCTAAGGACACCCATGTGTACCTAAATTGAAAATCTTTGCCTTGCCAGATGATGGATTAGTCAATGAGGTCCTACCTACACTTTGCTGAGTCACGGCTAGAGCTTGCCAAACGATAGAGCTGCAGCTCGATAAGGGGGTGTGTTGGACCTTTGCGGAGGGACTCCTGCTTTCACACAGAGGGCAAGGATTCTTCTCTGCAGCATGCTGGCAGGGTAGAGGATTTTGTACTCAGGCTGTCTACTTTCTTGAGAACGCAAACTAAGAAATTGTTCAGCTTTTGTTTTGACGCATGTGAAATTTATTTAGCTGATTTCAACTGAAAATTCAGTTGAGCTTTAGAAGAGTGAGAAGACATGAAAGAAAAGACAGCAATCAGAATCTCGAGATGGTTGGATGCTGAGATGAGGAGTCAAAATATAGCTTTGAATATTCTATCCTTAGAGCTAATCTTTACAACCCAAATGGCTAGTATTCTGATAATCTGTGGAAAGGTACCGTAGCTCAGTGTGAAAGATGCTTTGGGATGTTCTATAACCTGAAACAACAGGAATACGTTTATCTAACCAGGTGTAAACCTATTTTGTCTTTGCACAGTTGCCAGACGGGATAAGCGGGGACTCTGGGAGAGAACGGACCAAAACCTTTACCTACGACTTTTCCTACTTCTCAGCAGACCCAAAAAATGGCAACTACATATCTCAAGAATGGGTACGCATTTCCAAGAAGTAGCCTATAATTGTTCGCTTTCCATAAATTCTATGTATTTCTTACTCTGTCTTTTACCTGAAGCGGACCTTCACTCTAACATTCTACTCTCACCCACTCTATTTGAAATGGAATGTATATATATATATTTTTTCATATTTTGTTCTGGCCCTGCTCCCTGCTGTCATTCTCGCCTAGCCGAGAATAACGTGTCCTGCTCCCACCATTTTCTGGCATATCCCTGTCATATATCCCAGTAGGCTTCAGCAGTAGGGACACAGGGTACTGTTGGCGGAGCTGTGTTCATCCTCAGGAAGGCTGGCTGTATGAGCCTGAAAGAGGCAGCCAGCTCTTGATGCCTGAGGAGCAGCAAGATGGTGGACCAGGAGCTGAGTTGGGTCACTTGACCAGCAGATAGTAGTGGGACAATGCTGGGTTCCCTGGGCAGGCGAGTATGTGAATTGAGGACAACGCTGCGCAAAAGGTATGACTGGTTATAATAATCTGACTGGGATTCCTCTTGTCCTGTGGTACTGGTGTGGAATGGGATTTTAAACCTGTTAAAAATGTGATTGTGTTGGAGGATGAAGAAGCTGCTTTGTATTCAGCAAATTTACAGCATTTCGTAGCTGCTTGGAGAATACAGTTATTGTTCGGCGTAACTTGGGTTTTTACAGGGAGTTTGAAATGCTTCTGACCTCACAATTATAGAAAAGTCTGAAAAGAAATGTAGAAAATGAATAAGTCGTATTTGTAATGCACTTTCCTTTGGGGGTAAATTACATGTACATTCACAGGTATTCAGTAAGGATGGAAATTCTTCTAATATAATTTCTGAATGTTAAGGCATTGGTTTATTTATATAAATCCACATCTGGTTTTCTGAAAGCCATATGTTGAATACAAATGAGCCTATTTCAAGGACGTGTTAGAGATCATTAGGATATTGTTTTAAACTGCCTGGCTGTCCTGATTCAGTAGTTTTAATAATTTCAGTCACCTGACCTTAAATATAGATCAGAAGTTCTGACTTCACTGACTGCTTGCTTGTTCCAGGTCAGTGACTCTGAGCACTAAAGTCACTGTGGGCTTGTTTACACCATAAACAGTGCATTCCAGAGCAATCAGCTGCTGGAACGCACTGTATCGTATTCCGGCTGGCTTCCTGCGTTTAAGGGGCGGGAGGGGGCGTGGTGGTGCATTGAAGTCAATGACACCGCAGCCACGCCGATCATACGCACCAGAACGTGTGGCACATTGGTCCCGGTCCCGTGCGATCTGAAAAAATAGTGCATGCAGCATTTTTTCTGATTGCACTGGATTGGAACGTAGGCACTGATGTGTCATACGTTCTGTTGCAGGCAATCACATTGCAGGCAGGATGCATGGCTGTGGTGCCAGTGACTTCAATGCACCGCCATGCCCCCTCCCGCTTCTGAATGCAGGAAGCCAGCCGGAATGCGATACAGTGCGTTCCAGCAGCTGACCGCTCTGGAACGCACTGTTTATGGTGTGAACAAGCCCTAAAGGCAGAGACAGCTAGACTAGGATTTTCAGAAGGTGGTCGGCAAAAGCAGCATGCATGTTTATCTTTGTATGGGTTTCATTTAAAGTGACCCTGTCACTATTTTGTAAAAGGTGGAGAGTGGCATTTGCTGCAAATCAAGCAATTAATACTCATGTGTGCCCCATAGAACTCCGCTGCCGAGAAGAAATAATGTTTCTAAAAGTTTCCATTACCACTTCTGGGAATGTTGGATGCTGGTTCTCTCTCTATGCGCTCTGTGGTTTCCTTCTGCCAGTCCCTGTGTCATTACAGCATACAGTAGTGATGTTTGGCTCAGCGGAAGGAACCACAGAGTGCAGCAGGGATTTGACATCCAAAAGCGTGCCAGATGCTGAAGATCTTTCAACAAGACTACCTTTTCAATGCAGAGGGACTGGTCAGTATTAATTGCTTTGCAGGGAATGCCTCTTGTTTCCTTTTTAAAAATAGCTAGAGAATCGCTTTAAACCTTCTCCCTGCGATAGGAGAGCAGATAGTAAGCAGCCATGTGCCCAACCCTTATTCTGCTGCCTGCAGAAAACAGGAGTGGGTGGATACAAGACCAGATACCCTGCACAAGTAAAGAGAGCAGCAGCGACAGGTCTCTATTACAGAAAGCTCCTGCACAGAGGCAAAGATTCATGCTGGATTACTGCACAGATGTGGAAGAAATACTGTAATCTTGGTATGCTTGGTGTAACAATACATATGCCTCTTGTATTTAGACAATATTTCCTTATTCCAGAGTTAAGCTTTAAATAAAACCTATAAGACTATGGTTACAGACTCTCTAGAAAGAGTTTACTAAAATCATGAACTGCTTACCTTTCTTGGGGAAAATACTGCCCCAGGCTTCCTCTGGTGTTGGTTATGTAAAGAAATACTGCGCCAGTGTTTGCCATGTAAACAAAAGCCTAAGCATTTGGTTGGTGCATGCTGATGGTGAGATGTAGAGTTTCAAATGTCTGCTGTTCCCTTTCAGTAGATGATATAGATTCTAGCCTAGACCTTTGTCACCAGAACTTGGTAGAGTAGGTTTTTACATGTGATAATTTACCTATTTGTGCATGAGGAGATATGATAGATGCATCTTGATTTATATGGGGAAGGGGTAAAGATCATTTGTTTTATAACAGTCTGTATCATTTTGGCTTAGTCCAGATATGATCCGTCTATAGAACAGCTTATATAGGATAAAGGGCTTTCAATATCTTAGTAATCATCAGTGATGAAGTTCTGCTCAGTTATTTGGTTACCGTTATCCTTTCTTCAGGTTTTTAAGGATCTCGGCACAGACGTTCTCACGTCAGCATTTGAAGGGTACAATGCCTGTGTCTTTGCCTATGGACAGACTGGCTCTGGAAAATCATATACTATGATGGGAAATCCGGTAAGGAGATGGTTTTCTCAACTCTACACACTTCATTATAATCTCATTGTGCAGTTTAACTAGGCAGCACGTAACCCAAGACTAGATCATCACTGGACTCTGTCACTCAGGATTTGTTATATTTTTAGTCTGCAGCTTTCCATTTCTTCCAGTGAAACACTTTTACATGTTACATTGGCTGGAAACGATCTTATAACGGAGAGCTGAATAACTGTTCTGGCTCTGACTTTAACCCTTATTACGGAGTCTTCCTTTTGCTCCCAATCTCTTTTATTCTAATTTCAGTCTTTTATTGCAAAACATCTGCTGAATTCATTTTATATAGCTATACATTTTTTTCCTTAATGCATTTTCCATTGAAATCTATGGAAATAAAAGACGTTGGCACTTTTTTACTGTCATGCATTTGTCAATGTGCATTGCAATGTACTTTGTATTGAGTGTCAACACTCATCATAACTTGCTTCAACACGTGTTGATGCGCACCATAATGTGGTTGTATGTGCCATGATGTGTTAATGCATCCATTGAGAGGCATTTAGATGCCTTTCCATTGATTGTAAAAAAATCATCAAACAAAAATGCAGAGGAGGAGACGCCAGCCTACAGCTGCCCATACGCTGCTCGTATTATGGCCTACTCCTGCTCAGTTGTCCGAAATTTACTCTGTGGGTTGCCCTACTCGGTTCAACAAAAGTTAAGCTGAAGTCACTGTTCAGATATGGGCCACTGACAGAATATGATAGTGTAACTGCAGAATGTTGAACATTAAACTGAAAATGCATTGCTTACTTTATGTAAATCAGTGCTATAGCTTCCTTCCTGGAGAACAGATTCAATACTGTTGAAA